AAACCCTTGTAAAAAAAAAAAAAAAAAAAAAAAAAAAAAAAAAACAGAGAGAGGGGGAAAAAAACCCATCTTGGATACATGGCCAGCTCTGAACTAGGGACATGTGAGACATGGTCTTATTCTTTTGTTCACTGAGATTATAAAAGCAAAAAGGGTAATCTATTATCTCTGAGTAGGTGTAAATTAAGTGCCTCAATAGAGGAGCAAATAAAATAAGAGGAAAAAGGCTAATTTTTTTTAACTAAGCCCCAGTCTTCCCTGGCCCCAGATTCTGCCAGCTCTGGATGGCCCCCACTTTCACGCAGAAGGCCCTGGGACCAGCCTTCTTTCTTTTTCTTGGGGAGGTGACTTTGTTGGCCTTCCCAGGCCCCCCTCTCTTGCTGGCCTCAAAGACCAACACATTTTATTTTAAAGCTTTCACTGCTACTGATTTACTGGCAATCACCATGGAAACAAGTGTGGAAAACAGAAAGAACACAACTGAGAAAGCCTCACATAGCCAAGAATCTTGCAGTTGGAGTCGCTGCAAGGCTGGTCTGCAGGCCTGGCCTTGACTCCTCTTGAGGTTACTGGAAGCCCTGGCTGGGCGCTCCCTCCCATCCACTCTCTCCATTTCTTGCCTTCTCCTCTCTCCCCCTTCTTGGGAGCCAACTATTCATCAGGCAGGACCTTCCCTGAGTTGCCATCAGCCTTCCCCTAGGAAGGGGTCCCTTCCCCTCCCATGGGTGCTGTCTTCATGGACCACTCTTTTACGGAGTTTTCATGTCTGTATCGCCACGCCAACATACACACGGGCCAGACAGGTACTCTGCAAGGCTCCAAGCCAAGGATTAGCTAAATAAAGCCCAGCAATCCCAACTAGCCCCAGTGGGTGTATCTTCAGAATCTCCCACTCCTGCTAAGCCCTCTACCCAGAGGAGCCTTTCAGCCTGTCCAAGGGCCCTCACCATGGAAGCTGCCTCCCAAGCACTGCACCCCCTCACTGCCAGCCAGAGTAGCTTTCATCCCTACACCATCGGGAAACTGAACATCTCCCACCCTGAAGAGACTAGCTTTGCCACCTCATGCCTAGCCAGAGCTTTTGAATTTTGTTTATAGAAAGTGATTTATTTAGTTGTTTTTAAAATTATTTTAGTCAGAATCTTGCTATGTAGTTCAGACTGGCCTTGAACTTGTGATCCTCCTGCCTGAGCCTCCAAGTGGTCTGGCATTTGCATGAAGCCTGGCTTCTGCATCCCTGTTTTTGTTTTGGGGGGCCCTTTTTTTTTGTACCGTGAATCAAACTTCGGACTTTGCATTTGTGAGGCAGGCAGCAGCACTGACCTAAATCCCTGGCCGTCTGCACCCATTTTTAATGTTGACATGCCAGTGTCCTTTGGAGGTCCCAGGTCTACATTTTCCTTCTGACAGTTTGCATGTCCAGATGCTCCCTGAATAAGATTCATTCCTCATTCTTGCACCCTTTTTTCTTTGTGCTTCTATAGCCTGTCTTTTCCCTCCCCTTTTCTTACAACTGCATTCTCCAATCTCTGCCTATATGGACTCTTCTCACATTCTGAGCAGCGCCAGTCCCAGGAAGAGGGAGCCAGAGATCAGCCACAGTGAGAGGGCCATTTAAGCACACTGCTCCAAAACTCCCCAGGCTCAGTATCTTACTGCTCATATCTGAACTTTACATTTGCCTAGTCTTTCAGAACCTTAACTACTGAATCACACATGAAAATGGCCAGAAGCCTGTTTCCGTGGGAAAAATAAGTGGGTTTTATTAAAGGGTTGGAGGTAAGTTCAGTTCCAGGGGTCAAGGCAACTGGAAAAGAGAAAAACAGAGTTTGGAATTTTTTTTTTAAGCTAGGGATTTCACCATGTTACCCAGAGTGGCATCAAACTTCTGAGCTCAAGCAAGCCTCCTGCCTCAGGGCCCCTCGCCCCAGCTAAGACTTAAGTACATGCACTTAGCTCAGAGTTTGGAATCTTAATAGTCCCTAATGAGCCCAGGAAGACCAGAGGGACGGGTAGGGTGTGGCCACAAGTCCCACATGGCAGCCGAGGAGTACAGAGGAACCAAAGGGCACTGCATGAAGCACAGTGCCTGTGCAGCCCAGCCCTGTGGGAAAGATCTCGTCGTTGCCGCATCTAACAATACTACGGTAGCTAAAACGGAGGTGAGACCACACACAGCCGCACAGTGTATGTGTCATATTTCCAGATGAGACCAAACTATCCACCTACAGCACTTCTGGTTTTATCTTGACCTTAATCCTGTTTTGTTACAAAAGTTAACCCTTAGGCATTGTAAAATTGGAGAGATATGCAAGGTAGAAATCAAAACTCTTTCAGAGATGTATAACCACTTGTAAGTTAAAGTACATTTATCCAGATTGCTTTCTCCACATATTGGAATGTTTAATATATGTGCACGTATATGTAAAGTTTTACAAAGCTAGTTATCATAAAGTCATGGCCACTTAGAACTTAAGCGACCTGAAGCCTAAAAGTTGTTAACCATGTCCCTCACCTCACTCGTGTATAATTTAAAATAAAAATACTAAACAATAAAACAAAAAGTCGAAGTTTTTATTTTCCTTTAATATTTATCTTATTATAACTAATGTAATAATTACTTAGTACTTTTAAAAATAATGTATTAATTTTTTTTCTTTTTCCTCCTTGGTGCCCCAAGCATATGCCTGGTTTCCAAATTTGATAATCTACCAACGCATATAATACAAATTATCTTGAAACTTTTTTTGGTTTTGTTGTTTTCCCTCTAAGATATCTTGGGGATTACTGTGACTGGCAGGCATGGGATCCTCTCAGAAGGAAGCAGCGCTCTTCAAATGCCAGCACCTGTAGCCAAGGGTTAGCACCTCTTATGAACTGGCATGGCTTTAGTGAATTCGTGTTACATCCACTGGCAGGCACAACTGAGTTCGCAAGCAACTGAACTACTTTGAATCTCTATGCAAAGTGAGGTATAAATTAACTTATTCATTTATTCACAGGTACTTTTACCCCAAAGCAGTGAATGTGATCATCATAATTAGGGGTGAAGGTTAAAAACCAGAAAGAATTCACTGATACAAGTTTTTTCTTTGTTATCTCTGTGAGAGAATTTAGAATTAGATTGTCATAGTTTATTTTAATATGATGCTTTTGTCACTGATTACTAATTTTATTGCATTGTGGATAGAATGTTATTTGTATGCCATCAGTTTATGGGCACCCCCTCAAATGCTGCAGAAGACATGGTCATTCTTTGTAAATATTCTGCATGTGTATGAAAAGAATGGAAATTAATACTATAAATTTGCCTACTATCCTCCACAAAGATTGAAGTCCATATTCCTATTTGATTTCAAGGCAACTTTCCAAGAACAGTGGTTTCTTGGGACCCCTGGGAGACTGCTTCAAGGACCTCCCTCACATATGTACCCAAACTCCAAGGTGCTCAAATCTCTTGTAGAAAATGGTATAGTACTGCTGGATGTGGGGGCACACGCCTGTAATCCCAGCACTCCAGAGGCTGAAGCAGGAGGATTGCTGTGAGTTCGAGACCAGCCTGGGCTACACAGTGGGTTCCAAGTCAGTCTCAACTACATAGTGAGACCCTGTCTCAAAAAAACCAAATAAAAAGAAAATGGTGTAGTATTTGCGTATGACCTACACAAACCCTTCTGTGTATTGTGATTATAGTGCCTCATACAACATAAATGCTATGTTAGTAGTTTTTACATTGCATGTTCAGGGAATGACAACAAAAAATTCTGTACATATTCAGAACAGGCACTGTTTTCTCCACATATTTTCAATCTATGGTTGACTAAATTCACTGATATGGAGGCCAACTTTATTGTAAATCCTCGCTGCAACCTTCACAGGCTTTTACAAAAAAAAAAAAAAATGTATACAT